TTTTTTTTCTATATATACATGTCTAATTCATTTTCTAACATGACACATGTTGTCTCTGTGTAAAGCCACTCATACTTAATTTTATGCTTCTTGTTTTCAGGCCAAAATTCTGCACTATAATGCATTGCAGGTCTCACCACCATCTCATAATACATTCCTCCACATTCATCCATGTCAAACATCCATCTTTAGTACTACTAATAACATTCTCGTATGGGAGCATTCTCTGTATGTGTAATTTGGAAATTTGCTCCAATGGGAAAAGTTGAGGCCATTAGGCCAATGCGGACAAGGTCTTAATGGTTGAGAGTTTGGCTGTCATGCATGCTCAGCTTTGGATGTCAGCGTACATACTGTATTACAAAAATTTATTATTTCTTTTACAAATTGCAGCTTTTCTTGTTCTTTTGAACAACTATGGAAGGTTCTGTTGGAGGAGTTACTTTGTGCTGCATACCCTGGCCTGTTGTGCAAAAATGTAAAAAGTGAAGTTAAGGTGATAGATATGTAAATACATAGTAATTGCTAAGTATATTCGCAAATGTGCTTATTTGTTTTCAGTATGTTGATGGTTCTTGTTGCTGCGACGAGAGAAATTCTTGGTTTTATAAATTCTTTTGTTAACAAGAAATATTAAAGTGAAGGGCGAATATATCCTACTTGGTTAAAATCTGGTAGTTCATGACATCATTCAAAGAGAAATCAATTTTACAGGAATCAAGTCAGTTTCACTTAACCAAGGTGATAGAGAAGCTTTGATGGCTTGCTGTTTTAAATCTGATATAAAATAGGTGATGCATTCTTCTGACTCCTATTTCGGCAGCTACAAAAGTGGTAAAGATGATTGTAAAAATGAAGATTTATTTTGTTTTTATTGAGTAAATATATTCCCTAGAAATATTTCTTAATGCTTGAAGATACATGAATAAAATGACCCCATGTAAATAATTGCTTACCTATCATATATAATAGCCAAAAAATGGAAGATAAGGGAGGAAATTCCGTCCCATATTCTCGAATTTTACATTTTGTCAAGGCTTGTACTGACATTCTTTATGCTTATTTGATATTGATATTTCTCAAATGCATGCTCCACTTCTCTTTGTTTTCTATGTACATGTTTCTTGATCTTCATGCTGCTCTTCTTTGTTTGGCTGTTTTATTTAGCCCAAAAATTACTCAGATACTACACTTGTTGATTTTCTTGTCATGCTGGCTGTGCTCAGAATTTTTTACTACTACACTCGAGGTTTTTCTTGTGGCGACTGTGGGATGTTTTGCTTTCTAGATTGTTTCAGCTCTGTTCTCTGGTTTGAATGGTTCTGTCATATCAGCAGGCTCTTGTTCTCATTTTGCTGCCTTTGCCTGATCTTATTATGCTGCACTTCATTATGTTGTTTTTATTTGTTTTTATTTGTTTTTATTTTTGATTTCTTAAATCAAATCATATTCTATTTTAAAATACTCGGTACACCTAAAAGATGTGTTTCAAAAACTGCTACAACCAAATACATTTTAATTCAAAACAAAACATAAAACAAAAAAAAAAAAAATAGAAAACAAAAAATAAAATAGCCTTTGGAGAATAAGGCAATATCTTTATAATCTTGTTGATGAGCTGATTTGTGTGCGAAAATTGAAGGAATTCATTTTAGTTGAGCATGGACAATAAGGCGCCTTTGGAGAAGCAGTGTAATGAACCTATTTCGTGCAGGTAAATACATGTCGTTGGATTGTTATATTGATGTCAACACTTTATGGAGGAGTTGGGGCCGATGCTTTTAGGCTGTCAAACCTAAAATGAAGTTAAAGGCATGTTTGTAAAATTTCCTTCATTTTTTTTTGTTTTTGTTCTTCAATGAGGGAAGTTATGCAGAAGTGTTGAATGACATTGAGCTTAAGCTGTATTTTTCTTTTGTTTTTCTT